CTGCTTTGGCGCACACGGTGGAAATCATCGGTCGAACTGTCCAGATGCTTCTCAGTTCTAGCCGTCAATTTTATAAGGAAACCGAAAACAGACAAAAAAGACCTGTCGGGTTGAATGCGTTGCCCCAACCGTCCGTCCCCTCCCATTTTATGGTTTCGCAACATAACTCGAGGTAACCGATGACGAAACCGTGCCGGATGGACTAACATGACACATGCCTGTGAGATCAGCTTGCAGTTAGGCTTTGAGAGTTTAGGGACAGCTTTTCAAGACACCCTGGACGATTAATCGGTCGGGGCCTGGCTAGAAACGAAGAGTTTACGTCTTTTCATCCCTCTTGGTCGTTCAGCAAAAGTGGCGATAACTCCGCCTGAGCAAAAGTGTGGAAAACGATGATTTCGCATGACGGCAAAAATCAGCCTGAACAATCGCTTGTAGTATTGACATGATCTACCAAATGGATGTCACTCTTTCGGCAGGCGCCCAGCGAAAGAAAATCTTTATGAAGTTGATAAACGTTCTTTTTAAACAGTAACAACAAATTAGGTTATCTTGACGTTAACCGAGACGTCACATGTTACAGTAGGCCTTGTATAATTTGTTTACATTCATTTATACAGTGCGCTTATACCGTGAGAAGCACTGCTGGGCAGGAGTGCCTTAAAAAGAAATGGACTCAAGTCCAAATTTCAATTGGTTGCGTGACGCCTCGAATAAATGCCTAATTTTATTAGCTTTTTTCAGTTGAATGATTCAGTAGTTGAATTAACGACACTTTTTTGAAAATTCCAGCTCATTCTCTAACAGAAGGGCTGAAGTATAAGGGACTGCGCCCTCCCACCATGCCGGAGCGTCCGATCAAGATGAGATCCTTCGTTCTCTCTGAGCCATTTCCAGTGTACAAAAAGCAATAAAGCCGTTGGACCACCTCAAACAAATATTTGGATCGGTTTGCATGACTTCCATGAGCACTACCGATCTGGAGGTCGAGAGAATGGGCGTCAGTTAGAGGTGGCCACCAGATCCACGCGGAGAAGTACAACCAAAAGCTCCGCATAATCGAAGCTACTATCAGCAGATTTGCCAAAGATGAAGACTGAGGCCCCGTCTAAAGGCTTTCTACTAGCAGATAACATTCGAGCACAAGAGCTTGAATGTTCGAAAGAGAGTTATCAACTTTGTAGAAAGAGGATGTCCATGATCATCTTCACGGATAGAGGGAATTTCTGACATAAGTGAGTCTGTCAGCTACATAGGCGACTGGCTCCTCAAAAGCTTGCGGTTGGAGGACCTTCCCAATCACTTCACAATTGCATACAAACATAAAAACACCTTGTTCAACTACTTATGTCGATCTTCGACGATTCCAATGTTCTCAAAATGCCGCCTGTAGTTATCGAAGAGTGATACCAGATGGGAAGGGGGGAAGGCTAAAGTCTGCAGGGGATAGATCTTGCAAGACTCCCTGCACCTTTAGCTACATCTGACCGATCCGGAAATGAGGCTGTGAAACAAGCCGAGGGGATGCATCGCTTAGGGTATCCGAAATGTCAGCGTCCATGCACTTTTCATACACGTCAAATGTCAGAATAGACTACGTGCACCATAGTGATATTTTGCTGCACACTGCAAACTGGGCCAAACAGAAACCTAACGGACAGTCACGCGTCGAATTTTGTCCGAGATATTTGACGTGTCTTCTTCGTCACGACAGCGGGAAAAATAAGCCACGTGTGGGGACCTTATTCCGTACGGTATGGTTAAGCTGTTCGCCCAGAGAGCAGGGTCCGCCAACCACGTCTGACAAATCCGTCTGGCGCCGATGGCCTAGTTGTATTGGAGAGATAATACCCTCATTCCGGATTCCGCATGATATAGTTATACTGCATCGGCGAATCTTTAGTGAAACATGCAAACGGTTTTCACCACCTCAAAACCGATCAAACAGTGACTTGACGAGCAGTCTAGGCGTGAAATTCACTGGAAATGCTCGCGGAGTGTAACTGGTACACCTTCTTTGCCCCTTTCCTAGTAAATTCCTGTTCAACAGTAGGAAAGATATGACCTACGTGGAGACTTATTCGATGCGTTTTGATCGGACTGTCCCTTCGCAAATCACGATACGCCGGTGAAGCTTAGAAAATCTTTGTGACGTCGGTGGCCTGGTTACTTTGAAGGAATTATACTCCTGTTCCTGTTGCATGTTAAAAATCTGTACCGCATTTATTGATGACTATTCCTTGAGATATGTGAATAGTCCTTGTACATCAGCCACTCAAAATGCAAGGTTTCAGCGTCAAATCTATAGACGGGACTGGGTAAAGCCGAGTGTCCTTGAAGTTGTAGACAACGCTGTATTTTCCCACAGCAGCTCTGGAATGATCCCGATACTCCAGTTGATTTTCTTTACAAACAGTGCTTTCATTCTAGCAAATGTTCTGCCCAGCCTTGCAGGCATTATGCACAAACCCTAACCGTAAACGCGGTCAGTCGCACACAGAAAGGGCAGCTCTTGATAATTGCTGGACACTCAGTGTGTGTATGCAGGTGCCGATGCCTGTGAATTTTGCAATAAAGTCTGTGCAGTTCTGCGGTGACCAAGTAAGCTTGTGGAGGACACTCACAGCTCTGCGCTACCACAATAGCCTCATACTGTCCCTCGTTCGCTTTAAGTCTCCTGCTGCCTTTCATTCCTGAGGAGTCATCACTCACTGGCATTGTACTAACCTTGGAGGCCAATACCTAGACTCACGCCTATGATCTATCATCAGGGATAAGCGTAGATAACTGTGATGAGCGAACAACTGATGTAGTAGTTGTACGATGCTGCTGCCGCGTCACCGCATACCTGTGCTGGTTCGCGTACCCCTTTCATCGCCGGAAGCCCCACCTGATGGCCTGTCTGTCCGCTCTCAATATATGGCAACTGGACTATCGCACCGGACGATGTCCACTGTGTGCTCCACAGCACAAAGAGTAGACTTGCGAAGCATCTACCACACTCTCTCTTCATTCCCGCTTAGAAGACAAAGTTGAGAATATCAGGGGCGGGAAGGACGCAAGCGGATGACGCGCTCGAACCCGCACCTGGGCGCCCCACTCCACACACACACCCCCTGGTTCACAACAAACACCTGACTGGGATTTTGACCAACAACCACAGAAGAGACGTGGATGACTGGGCAGCCAAGCACACGATCTGCATACCTAGCGGGAACGCAAGCTCATCTACTGTCAGAGAGTCAGGTGTCAGAGAACTGCCAACGCACACCAGGCTGCGATGGTCATGGCTTGCTGATTCTGGCATATCAGACGCTTACAATACTCGAGGCCCAGAAGGATGACATACAGCCGTGCATTCGCCTGGACTAGCTCCCTTCAAAGGATGAGAAGCCAGTCAGTCACCGACTGAAAGGCACTACCCATTAAGTAGCACACACTCCTCACATTCGTGAGACTGTCACAGGCCAATTTGTTTTTTTTTGGGGGGGGATGCGTGGCAGCCTGGCTATCAACTCACAAACTCAAATAAATGACAATAGAAGCGAAGAGACGAGTCCCAGGAAACACTCTTAAAGAAGTAGACACGATCGCTCAGACAAGAGCTTTATTAGCCTGGCGTTTCGAATTCCTGCTCGTACCCATCATCAGAGGCAAATACTGATACGGGTGGTACATGCACACAAGGGGCTGCAGTATTTATAAGATGTAGTCGCCATGATACCGCATACCTATGAATACTCACGGCTCCCCCTTTCATCAGGGATAGTTGCACGTGGTGTGATGGCTGTTTGATGGCCGACATTCGCGTCGTTAACTGAAGCAATTTCATCACGTGCGGCGGATGTTGGTGTGGTGATTGCTCGACTATCTGACGCACTGATCCTGGTGTTGGGAAAAGTGTTCACCTGCGCGCTCCCCTGATGGCAACCATCAGGCGTCAGGTGATGAAACCGAAAGACCCGTTGCCGCAGCAAGAAACGTCTGGAGTCGTTTATCGGATCTAATGAAGTTGCGGGCAAAGCAAATACGTCAGAGAAACAGGAAAACAGTTTCGAACGCGAATTGCCGAACACGCTGCAGCGGTGCGGAGAAATGACACTAGCTCTCAAGTTGCAGCTCATTCGACGAGATCCAGCCACGCAGTCAAATTGGACGAGACCGAAATTCTCAAAAGAGGTGACAACCGCGTGAGCGGGGAGCAACTTAAATCATGGTTTACTGGCCCTCAGTCCATTAACAAGTGCAATGATCTTCCTAGTCCATACTCGGTGCTCAGACTTCGCCTAGGCGAAGTAATTGGACACGCGGGGAACGCACAGATGAACACTTTTCCCAACAGCAGGATCAGTGCGCCAGATGGTCGAGCAATCACCACACTAACATCGAACGCACGTGACGAAATTGCAGTAATTAACGACGCAAATGTCGGCCATCACGCCACGTGCAACAATCCCTGATGATGGGGCAGGAGCCGTGAATATTCATGGGTATGCGGTATCATGGCGACTGCATCCTATAAATACTGCAGCCTCTTGTGCATGTACCATAAGTATCAGCATTTGTCTCTGATGATGGGTTCGAGCAGGAATCCGAAAAGTCAGGCTAATAAAGCTCTTGTCTGAGCGATCGTGTCTCCTTCTTCAACGCATAAGTGGGCAGACTGCGTGTTCTGACGTAAGGCGTCATTTGGCAGCCTTCCAAGCGCAACTTGATAGTCCCAGCCTCGGATCATGCATGCTGAACACGAGCCGCTTGGAGAAGGAGACCAGGAGCACACTTCCCACGTGCGTGGGATGTAGAAATCAAGCGTCGTATGGAGCGGGTGCTGGTGGGGGATGTGTGGTGTAGCCGACGATTATCTGACGCAGGTTTTCGCGAATGTGCATGTCCAGGCGGTGGGTGAATTTGCGGGCAGTTGAGGTCGGCGCGGTGAATGTATATCAGTGTTCCAGGCACTGGTTCGCCGGTCTCCGTGCGATGGATTCGCAAGTGACCTATCAGGCCGATGTGAATGCGCGATCGCAACGGGGACGAGTATGGACGGAATCCACATCGCTGGCGATGGGAGTGTTGGTGGTGATGGCAACAGGGGATGGGACATTAGACGTCGTCCCATCGGTGGGGGGGGGGGGAGTGCGTGAAGTCGTGCTAGTGGTGACGCTGGCCGCCGCGGTCGATGCAGTGGTTGGGTTGTCGGTGGACGGTGGCGGCGGAGCAGCGACATTGTGATCGGCTGTCGGCGCGGAGTTTGCGGCAGGGGCGAGAGTGGGAGAAGAGGCAGACGTTGTCAGGTTGATGTCGCGTTGGGTGCACAGGTGTCTGACGATACCGATTCGTGCGCAGAATGCGCGTTGGCAGCGCGAACATGCTGGACGCGGCGGATGGTTGGCACTGAGGAGGCGAGACACTTGTGATTTATGAGCTTCCCTTTTGGTTTCCGCAGCGGTCATCCGATTTGATTCGTAGCGCCCGTCTTTTCTTCTCCAGGCCGGTCTGTTCTGTCCGAGGTCCTCCCAGTTCACTGGATTGATATGTAGTCGGTTAAGAGAATTCTTCAGTGTGTCCTTCTAGCGTCGTTTCGGTCTTCCCGTTTGGCGAACACCGGTGGCGGCATCATCACAGAAGAGTTGTTTCGGCAGACGTGTATCTACCATCCTCATGAGATGGCCGCTCCGACGTAGTTGGAGTTGCCTCAGCATGGCTTGGATACTTCCCAGTCGGGGATCCTGCCTTGTCTACGAAGACAGCTGAGCTTCTTGGCAGGGCTGGAGTAGACGGTCCAAGTCTCCGCTCCGTAGAGCTGTGTCGTCAAGGCGACGGCCTTGTACATCTTCAGTTTGATATTCATTTGGGAGCCTAGCGATTCCACACTGAGTTCTGCAGCAGACCGAAGGCTTGGCTGGCTTTTAAAATCCAATGAGACACTTCATCGTCAACTTAGATGCAGCGTGAAAGTGTAGTCACCAAGTAGGCATAGTTGTTTACGGTCTTCAGCTTGGTGCTGTTGACGCGGATGCGAGAGACACTGTATTCAGCGGTCGATGGTTGCTGATGCATGACCACCGTCTTGTCCGTAATGATGGTCAGTCCGAAGGCGACGTGATCCATGCACCGTTGCGTGTCTTCTTTAATCGTGCTTTTGAGTGAGAAGTCGTCAGCGAAGAGCAGATCGTGGACCGTGGTCGTAGATGGCCGCGTTCGGGTCTGCATCGGCCTGCTGTTGAGAAGATCCCGTTAGTTCTGTAGGCGACGCGTATCCCGGGCGCTCATTACAATATGCGTCCATCAGCATAGCAGAGACTGAAGAGGGTAGGCGCAAGGACGCGGCCCTTCTTCACGCCACTGGTCACTACAAATGCCTCGGAGATCGCGCCTTTGCCCGTGACACGCGCCATCACCCCATCATGGAGCTGACGACAGCCTGGTTTTCGCCTGCTCACAGCTCTCCAACCGACCAATCATCTTCAAGTCAGAATCAGGTGTGCACGCGCCCAAGGCGGTTTGGTGGACTGAATTAGACGTAGAACTGATAGACTTCTGCTCAAACTCAGCACAGCACGTCCCTCATGAGTGTCTATGATATGCTCTGACAGATCGTGCATTAGATGACCGACCTTATTGTCCCACTCTCCCCCTTGCATGGCCTCCAGTGCTCCGGTCAAAACGTTGTAAGCGTTCCCACACACACGTCTGACGGGGGAAAACCCTCGAGCACGACTAAGATGCGAGAGTTCTGGAGGGGCCACTGGCAGTAGACGTTTCGAACAAAAATGGGGCAGTAGGGAAAAACCGGAAATTGCAAGCGGTCTGCAAGGACCGGGTGTCTCTAAAGCATGCAACGCTGCTCATAACGAAAACGAGAGTAAATCAGTTTTGTGGGCGGATCTTATTTCGTAGCCGCACCTTCAGGAGATAAGCCCGAGTCGACTGTCTTACTATACCAGTGGTAATAGGGTGTTTAACCCTAATCTCTAACCCTAACTCCTAACCCCAAACAATAACACCAAACCCTAACCGCTAACATTAACCCTAACCCTAATCCCTTTCTCTGACCCCTAACCCCTAACAAGTACGGCTACGAAATAAGATCTTGCCCAGTTTGTTTCCAGGTCTGCGCTACAGAAGCTCTATCAGTTTGCAGGTTTGGGACTTGCATGAACGGAGATGGCACGCCTCTGATGGTCGTTCCAATTTTGATACGAACCCAAAAGGACGTGATGTCAAACTTGCCCTGTGACGACGCGTGCAATGTGATCGCACATGGGGTCTAAGTATTAGACTGACGAATCAAGCTTTACCCCCTGACACGCCTGATCAGAGGAGACCCCATGTTTTACAATCATACAGCATGTTCTTTATGATGCAGTCAATTGTCTGAGGCGACATTGGTTCCGCCCATAAAGCCGTAATTACAATCATGCCCATGATATGATTAGCTGAAGAGTTGTTAGGGGTATGATATAGTAGCAGACAATAGTAAAGGGATTTCTGATGCTGAAGCTCGAAATGCTTTACCAGCGGAGGTGTTGTTTTGGTCTTATGTGCGGTAGGACGTGACCTACTCCCATTGGCGACTTTGAACTGTACCCGACGCCCATTGGTCACTGAACGCTCACGTGATTTCGCGTGCGAACGTAGTTAAACACTGCCCGGCCACTGGTCAACCTTACCATCCCACGAATTGCCAGGCCAGTGATGGACATTCGACGGTGGCTGAGAAGACGCTATCTCCTCCCAGTGACCGTTTACTTTTATTACACGCACAATTATTCAAACCGTCGCACTTAAAACTGATGCAGCACAGAATATTTATGCGTGCAAACAAATGTACGTGCGTATGCATATGTGGGTACCGAAGAACGGGCAACTCAAGAAACTTAACTAGAAAGTAATTCAATTATTTGAGAAAACAGTAACTTTTCTTATATAAATTACCGAGGCTGGTCCCTCAGCTTGTCGTCGGACTATGGGTAGTGCGCAGAATCATATGCATTTATATACATATATACATCAGTATACGTAAAGTTTCGATGTCCAGATATTGCATCGCGTTCAGCATCTCCCGAACAAGACGAAGAAGAAGAAGAGAGGGCAAACTCGTGGACCATATTGTATTTGACAAAAATTCAAGGCCCTTCTTAGATTGGCAGACACCTACACTGCGAGTCCTGTCCCAGGCGAATTTGTGTCCAGTTTTCAGCGTATGCATGGCAATCTGGGACAAGTGGTCTTCCCATTTTATGGCCAACTGGTGGTTGTGTATTCGCGTGGAGGCCCCTTTCCCAGTTTGACCACAGTAAACCGCATCACGGGTGTTGCATGGTATCTTATGGACGACTTCCTTATCTAAATAGCCAACCCTATCCTTAGGGTGTACAAGCTGGTTATGAAGTGCAGTCGTCTGCCTGTGCGCCTAGTATTCGTTGCCTTACGGTAAAGGATGAGGAAGTCAACAATCAATTGCCTTTCCTAAACGTAAAGTTATGAGATTGACATACGGGAAGATAAGGAAAACGGTTTACAGGAAGGCGACTAATAATAGACGCATCCTCCACTTTCGAAGCAGCCACCCTGTTGGTTATAAACGCAGTTGTGTCAGAACTCGCTTTCAACATGTTCAAACACACTCTAACAACGACAGTGGGGGAAGGAGAAGGTGAATTACTTATAGGCACGCTTTAAGGCCAACGGCTACCCGAAGTCCTTCATACGCACTTGCCTCAAAAAGCATCATTTTGAACGGTGGAGTGGAGAAAAGCCGAAGTTCTGGCCCTCAATACCCTACGTGAATAACGTATCAGAGGCGACGACGAGAATCCTGAAACATTTTGGGATTGGCCTGGCTCATAAACTAGAATGCACCATCAGACAGCAAAGCATGAAGCCTAAAGAGCCGCTACCAACAACGGAACAATCAGCGTTGGTCTACTGCATACCATGCCTAAATTGCAATGCGAGGTATGTTCGTGAAACGGGCACACGCCATGTCCGGCTGCCAACTTGCTCCAACATATTCTCCGTCCATTTTGTGCAGACTGCGATCTTCTCCCTGGTGAAGGGACACTCACCGATCGTTTCTACGGAACTCACTCGTCCCGTTGTGTCTTACGGGCTCTCTCTCGTGCCCAACCAGCAGTCGCACAGCGGCGCATGACATAGACAGAATGGTATTACCACCGTATATTCCCGATCGCAACCGAAAAGACAGCGGGCCCCTGGCTCAGTGGTTAGAGGCGTTGGACTTCTAACTAACAGGTCGCGGGATCGAGCCCCAGGTGCTCCACATTTCGGGGTTGGGTATGACGACTAATAAGGCGGAAATGACCATTCCAGTCTCCCCTGTCTTTGTCAGTAATACCATTCTCCCAATGTTCTCTCTGTTCTGACGTCCAACTTCTCCTGTTTCTATTCGGGACCGGGCTTGAAGGTTGCAGTGGCAAGGGTCTGCCAATAGCTTAGGGTGCCGTGTCAGGTATGGGAGTTCGCCCATCATTACCAGCGTTCGCAGACATCATTGTGGGAGCAACGGGTGGCCGTGGCGTGTGTGTGTGTGTATGGCCGGAGAGGCCAGTGGGGCAAGGGAACATGTGGGAAAATTACGCGCATGAATGGTGTGGGAAATTTCAGTGACCGTTTGTCGTATGTGCGGAGACAGCGGCTGAGTGCGTAGGTGTGGTGTGGGCAGGGGAGGCGTACGTGATGGGCGCTGCGATGAATTCGCAGGTGTTCGGCCAGGCTGATGCATAAATGAAATGCGCGGCCACAATGGAGACCAGATGACAGGGTAGTCTGTATTGCCGACAGTTTTTCTCTGTTTCCTGGCGATATCCAAACAGTGGTGGCTACGAACCCATCCAATCAGGGTAGGCTGAGGCAGGAAGGTGATAGTACAGTTGAGCCAGATGAGATGCGTTTCTGAAGTAATGATAGCAATTGTGTTCTATTGGACAGTTTGTGGCTTTTTTATGTCAACGTTGTACTGAATCCGAAAGTTTTAGCTAAGTCAGTCTGGTCCTTGGATGTGCGTTAACGGTGGGAACACAATGAGCTCTCCATTGGACGATGAACTTCCGTCTTGTCATTCGTGGTCCGAAATACGCTGGGAGTACGTCCGACTTCCTGGCGATGGTGGATACAGACATAATTGTACTACCGACAAAGACAAGGGAGACTGGAATGGCCATTTCTGGCGTATTAGCCGTCGTCAGTCAGCCATACCCAACCACGAAGTGTGGAGTACCAGAGGCTCGAACTCGCGACCTGTTTCGTCAGAAGTCCACGCCTCTAACCACTGGGCCAAGAACCCGTTGCCCTGTCGGTTTCGATCGGGAATATACAATGGTAGAGGGGTGCTCATCGATTGTTCTTACGGACCTCACTCGTTCCGTTGTGCCTTACGGCTAGTGGATATGACAAAATAATTGTTTCAAATTTTCACTTTCCCGCCCCTGGACCAATCCTAAAGCCATGATTTGAGGCCCGTATTCTTTCCTGAAATACGGATACGTCAAGTGATCTACAATTCGCTGTTTTTCCTCTTATAATAAGCGACACCGCCCTGGTTTTTGATACCCGTAAATGACTACTCTATTGGAGTCCCCAAAGGTCGCCTGAAATAATCTTTACCCATTACTATAAACATTAAGTTCTCCCTTTTACCTCTACTACTCTATCCCGTTTTAAAATCGAAACGCCTTCGCAATTCATGCATCGATTCTTGTTTTCGTTCGTCGAAAAAAATGTGTCGAAATCTCGTTAGGAGTAATTTTACGAGCTACGGGAATTAAAATAAGTCACGACGGCCATTTTCTAACATGAGTTGATAGCTTAACAGAACCTTTAAGGGTACACTTTTATAGATCCTTTAGAGTTTTAAAAACCATGGTAGTGTTATTTAATCGGAGTTGATACGAGCATAAGTACTCCCGTCATACTACAGGTGACCTAGCGCTAAAGTACGCCTCATATTTTTTAACCCTAAAGCTAACCTCTCTTGACATTTAGCGCAAGGTCTCATGCAAACCGGGGAAAGTAGTTACGGCCGTGCCCTATTCATAATCATTTGTTTTTATTAAAATTAATACCTAATTCTCTATATCCAACTCCACTCTTACACAAATAGTCCAATGCAATTTTCAGGCAACCAGAATATCGTGTCTCAAATGGAAGTTAAACTATGTTGAATAGAGAAAGACCATTTAATGACAATAGCAACCATTTGCTGGAAGCCCAGACGTGTTTGGGGAGCAATTTTTATACTACATGAGTCAACTAGGAGTGCTGTTTTCGACATATATTTCAATTTGAATATCTGATGTTTCAGTTCCTTTAATTCCAAAAGGCCTTATATAAATAATCATGAAATTAGTAAAGAGGTTAAAGGATGTGTTTTCGGCCAAAATATCCGGTTATGTTGACTGACACCATGGGTTAAACGCATGCGCCCTCGTCTGATTCATAGGGGCACTAATTAAATTGAGCTTAGTAGCGCGGAAAATTCCACGCTAGGTCATGAAAGCTTACAGGAGAGAGAAAATTTGTTTGAAAAAAACACGTGAGCACACAGGTTGTCGACAGGACCCAGCAGTCATGAGCGGTTCTGCATATGACCTCGATTTTAGTATGTTGGCGAACAGCACGTGACGCGGAGATGGAAACCGTTGGCGAGGCTACACTCTCGCCGGTACGGCAGGTGATCCTTCAAAATTTACCTCCATTTCAAAAAAATGTATCGAAATCTCTACAGGAGTCATATTAAGAGCCACGTGAACTAAGCTAGGTCACAGCCAACATCGATTGTCATTGTCTAGCATGAGTTCGTCGAATAATAGGGCCTTTAAGGGTACACTGTTAGAGATTCTTTAGAGTGTTTAAAACCGTTGCAGTTTTACTTAATCTGATTGGACACGGGCATAAGTACCTCCGTCGTACAACACGTGGTCTAGCGCTAAATTACGCGTCATACTTTTAACCCTAACACTGAATCCTCTTGAAATTTACCGCAAGGCTTCACGTAACATGGGAGAGGTACTTACGGCCATGACCTACTTATAACCCCTTGTCTTTGCCGGTAATAACATACTGCCTATATCATGCGTCGCTGTGCGGCTGCTGATTGGGCTCGAGAGAGGGACCCTAAGACGCAACGGAACGAGTGAGTTCCAAAAGAACGATCGGTGAGCGCCCATTGTCTATTCCAGAAACCGACAGGAAAACTGGCCCGTGGCCCAGTGGTTCGAGGCGTTGGACTTCCAACTAATAGGCCACGAGTTCGAGCCCAAGTGTTCCACACTTCAGGTTTGGGTATGACTGGCTGAAGACGGCTAATAATCCAGAAATGGCGATTTCAGTCTCCCTTGTTCTTGTCGGTAATAACATACTGCTCATAACACACTGTTTTTATTAACATTTGTAAATAATTCACTATATCCCATTCCTCTGTCACGCAAATAGTTTCAGGCAATTTCAGGCAACCAGAATGTCGTGTCGCCGACGGAAGTTAAACTACCTTGGACAGAGCAAGATCACTTAATGACAGAAGTGTGTTCTTGAAGCAATTTCGCTACAGCGTGAGTCACTTATCAGTGTTATTTCTGGTATGTATTTTAGTTTCTTTAACCTGAAATGGTTTGATAACAATAATAATGAAGGTATGAGGTTACGGAATGTGCTTTCGGCCAAAATCGTCGGTTATGTCGGCTGATACGATGGGTTAAGCGCATGTGCCTGATTCATAAGTGGACTAATTAAATCTAGCTTGGTAACGCGGAAACTTCCTCGCAAGGTCATGAAAGCCTACAGGAGAGAGAACATTTGTTCAAAAAATGTGTGAGCACACAAGCAATCGACAGAAACTAGCAGTCATGTGTGTTTCTTCACATGACCTCGATTTTAGTATGTTGGCAAACATCACGTGACTTGCGGGGTGGAAACCGTTGGGGAGGCTACATTCCCGCCGTTGCGACAGGCGAACCTCTAAAATTTTCCTGCTTTTCTGCAGGAAGAAGTCCTGGCTTTTATCAGTCGCCCCTTTCGTTTTCGGAGGCCTCTGCTGGATTTAAGCTGCATCCTAAAAATCTCCGCATTTCTGCCTACAGACTGCTTGCTTCACCTGCATACAGGAGTCCCCTATATCCACAAGTGGTTGTACCGTGCCCTCGACATACGTGCTAGATAAAAGCCCAGACACGTGTTCCGCCAGTGTTTCTGCCGCTGCAGGACGTGGCTGCGCGGTGTTCGGCTCCTCATTGGGTCCGCCCGGCGTCCTCTATGCGATTTCTTGTCCATGACTGCTACTACTACTACTACTACTACTACTACTACTACTACTACTACTACTACTACTACTACTACTACTACTACTACTACTACTACTACTACTTCTACTTCTACTTCTACTTCTACTTTTACTACTACTACTACTACTACTACTACTACTACTACTACTACTACTACTACTACTACTACTACTACTACTACGCGTACCACTTGTTTGTTTGATAGTCATGGCGTGGTTGCTTCACAGTAGTTGACTGTTTTTGACACAAACTTCCCTTGAAATTTCGGGCCTGCCTCTAAAAAGTTATGTCTCAATCACTTAATTCCTTGTCTCACGCTTAATAATTTCTGAAATCACTAGCTGGTCCCCAAGGTGGTCAATCGTCTGTGCCAGAGTGTGCTTCAGTTTTGAAGTGGACAAAATTCTACGTGAGAGGGGCAAGTCTGTTTTGTTTTTAAGCAACGCAATTGACGTAAGCACTTTTTTTCTATTCGAGGACGTGTGATATCATTAAGTAACACAAATGATCAAGGGAGAAAGTGCATTTTCAGCATGCCAAGTAGTCCGTTTCCTGTGGGAAAGCGGAAAAATGTCCAAGAGTGAGTGGAGATGTACTTTTATGCTTGGTACGTTGTGATCAGGCCTGAGATGGCCGGTCTCCAAGGGAGTCACGGATCGCACTTCTCCATGCGTGACGATCTGCGACAGCGAGCCTGGAGAACTTAACTCACTATCTCTTCCAGAGACGGAGAGTGAATACTGAAGGTTCATGAAATACTTCCATGTGTTGACAGACTGTGTCGGATCAGGTTTAGTCTTGGCCTCCACTTAAACTCCTTCAGGCTGGCAACGGCTCCAGATAGCGGGCAGAAACACTCAGCTCGTGGAACGGACGACTAAGCAGGTGTCCACAGCACCTCAGCCGTCTGTCGCGGATGCCCTGAGATGTCCTCGAGCTGCTGTCGCGGCGAGTGGGGACTGTCTCGTTCACAACCAAGTTTATCTACTTCACTCACTGGATGGTTCTCGGGCAGAGGCGGTAAAAACCTACAGCTTTCGCTCTCATTCCACGCGCACGACGCAGCATTCACAACCGGAAAACAGGACGGGATCTTTCCGCAAAGGAAGATACTTCGTCAGATCCACAGACACTTCCTAGAGGTGGGAAAAGACCTGCAAGTAGAATCGATTTGACAGGCCGTGGCATCTTCGTGATGTTCATGCGACAGTGGCCTCATTTGGAACCACCAACCTCTTCATGTTGAATGCCAGTAATCCCAAGAGGATGCCGTTTCCTGATCAGGGATCCAATTCGAAAACACTTTGATCTTCCCGACGTTTACGGACAAAACGGCCTATTTTACGACTTCTTTTGCCCGTGACAGTCAAAAACAGTCGACAAAACTTGAGGACAGCGAAGCGACCATCAAAACCGTGCAGGGACCTGCCGAGTATCCAGCCGACGCCATAGTTGAACAGAATGGGTGGCGGGATGCAGTCCTTAAGAACGCCGGAGCCGATACCGAACGGTCGGGGAAGATTGTAATGGATCAGCATTTGCGCAGCGGTGGAGTGACAGCAGGCTCTGATCCTGAAAGATGATTTTCATCGTTATACCTCATTATCCGCCACGGTGACTCACGGTGGACGGGATCGAACGTTGCGCCAAGTTCATCAAGGTGGTGAGGGGGAAATAACGGTTCAGTTCCTAATGCCTTCATCCCAAAACGGGAAGTTTTAGACGTCAGAAAGTTTTGGCAGCTTTGCGATCACAGAACGCTCGCAGTCACGTGACCGCGGAGAGGGTTACCGAACTCGGCCAAACGGCGACCAGGATGCACTTATGCCCCCCCAATAGATGCGAAGAGAGGAGTCCCAGGGAGCAGTCTTGAAGAAGAAGAAGAAGAAGAAGAAGAAGAAGAAGACACGATCGCTGGGACAGGAGCTTTATTCGCCTGACGTTTCGGATTCCTGCTCGAACCCGTCATCAGAGACAACAGCAGATAGGGGTGATTCATGCACAAGGGGCTGCAGTATTTATAGGATGAAGTCGCCATGCTAACGCATACCTATGAAAATCAGCGGTTCCCTCCCCCCTCCGCCACTTCATAGGGGATGGTCGCACTTGGTGTGATGACTGCTTGATGATGGACATTCGCGTCGTTAATTGCTGCAATTTCATCACGTGCCTTGGATCTTGGTGTGATGATTGCTCGACCATCTGACGTAGTGACCCTGGTGTTGGGAAAAGTGTTCATCTGTGCGCTTCTCGCGTGGCCAATTACTCCGCCTAGGCGAAGTCTCCGCATCGAGTATGGAAGGGGAAGATCATTGCACTTGTTAATGGACTGGGGGCCAGTAAACCATGACTCAAGCAGCTCCCGGCTCACGCGATTGTCACCTTTTGCGAGAATTTTGGCCTCGTGGAACTTGAATGTGTGGCCGGATTTCGTCGAATGAGCCGCAAGTTGAGAGTTGGCGTCATTTCTCCGCACCGCTGCAGCGTGTTCGGTTCGGTCCCTCCGTAGCCAACAGGAACTGCTCAGTGTCACTCCCCTGTGACTTTTTATACTTCAGGACACCACTTAACAACGCACGAAACTTTATTTCAGACGAGGTTCCTAGTTGCTAAAGTGGTTTAAATGCCGAAAAAACTTCATGTGAAATCCCACCTCTATCAGGCAGGTATATATAGACTAAACAACTACAATGTCTTAACACCGCGGGATAAGAAAAAACGATGAAAAGACACACTCCTGATATGTTTTTTCATTATACCAGCTAACTTTCAGGTAGAATTAGAGTTCGGGAACGTTACGCCCTGTCAAGAGGTCATTTATCTCTGCTACTAAGGTACCGATAGCAAATCATTGCGACAGTATCATTCATTCTGACAATATCTATGTATCATTGCTGCGAGGTCAGCCAGCATCTCCCGTACCCCACACTAACAGTTGTTTTTCAGGCCTGGATTGCAAATCGACAGGGTTCTGTAAACCAGGGCAGGCAAGCAAGAGCACAGTCGACCCTAGGGTTACAAAGAAAACAACCAAAAGATGTGCACTCTTTTGACAAACCGGTTCCCATCACATGTCTCTGCCTCTTTTTAACATCCTGATTCACAGCTGCCCGGTCATATGCTGATCGGTGCACGGCGGGTAGGATTTTATTGAGGTTTGAACTGGAGGGCGCGAGGCTGTGCGCCCCATTACCCAAAACATAATTCCTGGAATTCCGTCTTCAACGCACAGGACACTGAGTACCTGGATTCAGTAGATGACTCACCTCAGAGAGGGAGAGAGAGGAATTCGCTTTATTTTGAAATCGTAAGTTCAAAATTTTCAGCGAAAAATTGGCTCCATTCACTATGAGCAGTAAATAAGTTTATAGATTATTCAAGAGTCAAAGTTTAACACAAAAAAACGATTATTATGGGGATAGTTCAAGTCCTAGCTTCAGTATTTCTGTCTCTTCGCACGTAAGATAGCGCGCTAGGAATGGCAATGCAGAAGCTCGATTAGCTGATTTGCGACAGGATATAAGTCGGAAGCTACGGCGCATGGGGCAGGAAGACTTCGCAGACATAAGATCAGAATGTAAGGGATGGACAACGTCGTCTAGAATTCGACCAGAAAATTGCTTGAGGGCATTGAAGTGTCATTGTAAGATAGTGTCAACTAAAAAAGATAAGAAACACCAGCAGCAGAAAAGAGCATGCGGAGGACTCGTTTCAAAATTAAAAGATCCTTTTTTAACAAAGCAGGAAAAATTACAGGAGAGCAGTATAGGATAAGAGAAAGAAAGTAGGCATCGATGAATCGTCAGACTAAGGGTTGAGGTGTATTGTAGGAACATAAACGAAGTATGTAGTAAAGAAGTTTACGAACGTGAATAAATAGGGACTCAATGTGGAGAGAAAAGGAAAGATTTGAGGACAAATTAATGCCGAGGTACCTGAAAGATGATACTTCGTTAGGAAGAATTTCAGAGAAATCAGGATTAGGAGAGAGCCGCAGTCCAAAAATACACTGAACGGACTTTTGGTTGCTAATTAGGAGTCCATTTGCCTCCCACCATGCTAGGACATGGTTTAGGCCATCATTTAGCGACTGGAGGTGTGTCTGACATTTGAGAGGGTGTCCAACAACCACATCTTCCAGAATGTGGTTCGGAAAGCTTAAAATTAAGTGCAGGCACAGGTCGGGTCGAAAATAAAATATAATTGGACTTTCGTGGGCATTGAAAATTAATTGGAAAAATGCATGCTGCTTAAGTAGTCATATTTTACAGAGTGTAGTATTTGCATCCAGCCGGAAGGAAGTTCATTCGAAAGCCGGCATCGCGAGGTAACTGAAATATTGTAGAATTATGTTGCAGGCTGACTAGTTTTACAACACTACTCAATTAATCTTTTCAAAACGAAACCGCATTTCGGAATTTTGGTTGATATTTCATGAGTTAGTCCACCTACTGTATTTGAAGTTATTAAGGAGTCAAAAAACAAAGGTGAAATTCATACCAACTAATTGGTCATTCTTTGTCGAGTGTGTATTTCCGGGGACCTGATTGAAGTATACGTCCTGCCTTTGTGTTTCCTGTTCCATTGACCGGTGCCAAGATGCAGGTTTTTTTTGCCCCCTACCGTGGGAGGGGGGAGGCGGTTGAATGTAAACCTCACACATGAAATATTGTCCCGTTCATTTTGCGCTTAGTCGTGAATGGTTGTTCGATTCCTCTAACAAAGCTGCCCTTCCAGTATAGTTGTCGCAAACGGTTGTGCCTTGCAGCGAGCACAGAACTCTGGTGGAATTGTGTACTGGTTCTCATCCAAGAGGGCATTCCGTAAGTCATACCATAAATTCAACAACAAACCAGTCTGGGGAAACGTCCAGCTTCACGGATTTATTATCAGACCTCTGCAAAAATGTACGACATGATTGAGGCTGTGTTAGGTGAGTGGAACAATCAGTTTTTGGAAGGAGGGCGGAGAGAGGGGGGGGAGAGAAGAGAATTCTGAGATCCGCGAAGACAGACTGAAGTCTGAGGGGTGCGCCTGGACAGTCATCTGCTGTGACGCGTTGTTTGACCGGACAGGGTGGCGCCGCATACCTGTTGGGTTCTGGCCATGGAAGCTGTAGGGACCAGACGAAGGGTTCGTTTCAACAAAGAGCATGATTATATAGCTCCACGGATCTCCACCCTCTTCGCCAGCGAAATAAGGGAATTTGGAGTTCAACGGGGTGTATGTGGATCAAATAGTCTTAATGAGTTCACATGTACACTTGTAAATGCAAACAGATGGAATGAACACAAAGGCAACTGTCGACCAAGTAAGTTTTAAAGTCAGTAAACAGGATCTCTGCTCTTCTAGCCTTAAACGCCTCTCCAAAATGGACACATTTTGACTCAAAAAGAACTGCCAGCGTCTTTTTTGGTGAATAAACAGCCTGAAGGCTCCGCCATTTAGAAGCAGCTTACAGTAAGTGGGCTAACTCATGAAATTTCAACCGAAATTCCGAAGTGTGTTTTCGTTTCGAAAATATTAATTTAGTAGGCTTGTTAAACTAATGGTCATGCAGCATAATTTTATAATAATTCAGTTACCGCAGGGTACCGGCTTTCGAAAGAACTTCTTGCCGGTTGCATGCAAAAACTACACTCTGTAAAAAGGACTACTTAAATGGCATGCATTTTCCCCATTGATTTTCGATGCTCCTAAAAATTCAATTATGTTTTATGGAAATTATGCATAAAAATACTCATTCTTATATTCATTCGGTAGAACATTACGTCTTCTTCCATTTTCATACTCATACGTAGAGTATAATTCGCTTTTAAAAAACTTTCTAATTGTGAGATTTTTTAATACCACAAAATGCCCGTTTGTCAAGTGTCATGTCTCTACATGGCTTATAAAGTTAACGATATGGCTCAAATCCACCGCTATGTTTTATGAGCTCCAGATGATTTCCCATTAATACTGTTGAGAAATATATGTTCTTCCGTGAGCGGAAAATATGCGGCTTGTAGCTTGGAAACCCTAAATGCAAGTGTAATGTTAGGTCAGGTCCAAAATGTTTCGAAAACTGGAAAAGTTTTTGAAAACCGAATTGTACCCTTCCTTCGAGTAAAAAAATCGGAAGAAGACGTAATTTTCCACCGAACGGGTAAAAGAATGGATATTTTTATGCATGTTGTTCATAAGATATAATTGAATTTTTAAAACCATCGAAAATAAATCAGAAACATACATGCCGTTTAAGAAATCATTTTTTATAAGGTATAGCTTTTGCATGCAGCCGATAAGAAGTTAGTTCAAAAGCCGGCATATTGAGGTAACAGGATTATTATAGAATTACGCTGCATGCCGGTCAGTTTTACAACCCTACTTAATTAATCTTTTCGAAACGAAAACTCATTTCGGAATTTCGGTTCACATATTATGAGTTAACCCACCAAGTTTACATACGGAGTGAAAAGTCAATCTATGCGAACAACTAAACCATCTTTTTCCCTTTAATCACTTTGTGCTCTACCGTGTCCTTCCCTACATTTTCGATCGCATTTTAGTGACCTCTTAGACTGTCTGTGCTGAGCTATGA